TTAATCACTTCAAACTTTTAATTTTTTTTTCCTAGTTGTATTAAATAGAGAAAACCCATTATAGGTAGGAAATTCAATTAAAAAACGTATAGGTACAATATACAAAAATAATATTTCATTGTCGTTTATATTTTATATTTCCCGATTGCATACCCGTTCGTTCTTATAGAAAAATGTAGTATGGGAATACTAATTAATATCAAAAGCTAGTTTAGGAGCCGAGTCCCATGCGTTCCCTCTCAATTCAAGCACTGTGTGTAACGTACCTGATATATACTATATAGTATTGGAAACAAATATGTCAAATTGCTTTATTTTGTATTTATTAAAATAAATCTTTTGGAAACCATTAGAATATCGAATTTGGTAATCTAAAGATCCAGCTTATTACAAATAGGTATTAAGTGTAATAATCGTTCGTGGTAGGTAGTTGTTTATAAGTAATTTTCATTGAAACATTTTGATTTTGCTTTTAGTATAACAAAAATAAGTGTTAAAATATTAATGAGTGTCCCTTTTTCCTCAAATAAAATAAAACTATCTGACTATGGTCTTGCACAGATCCTGTTTAAGAATGTAGTCAGTCGTGGTGCAGCTATAGTATAATATTATGCTGTCGTCAGAAAAAAACAATTTAACATCTGCGCGTGTGGCAACGCGTGTCGTTATTATTTTTGACTTTTCACCAATTTCCGGTTAATCCCCACCCACTACACAACGCACTCAAAGGTATATTAATATAAATTAAGTTAAGTTTTGTACATTTGTAGTTTTTATCCAATCTTTGGTGAGTGTGAGTCTGCAACACTACCACACGCGTTGTCTTTTAGTCTTGTAGGTATCATCTCTTGTCAACCGCACAGTTGGCCCCATACCGAGTGAATTTATATCATTATGTACAACATACGTAATTACTAATAAATGTTATATAATATATTCTCGCCGCCCAATAAATTTGAAAATTTATTAGATCAAGAGTATGTCTAAAAATGTTAAACAGTATGTTGGAGATAATCTTGAAAATTTTATTGGGTAAAATAAAATAGTGATAAAATAATAAATCATTGAAGATGTTTTTACCTTGTGTATGATACTTAAATGTTATTTTATAAACATGGACAATCGTCATATTGTATTTTTATCAATTAGGTTATTTTAAATTTATTAAACAACGAAGATATTTTGAAAATACTCTTATAGAGTGATTCAACTAAGCATTTTCATCCCTATTCTTTCCTTTATTTACCTGGAAATTTATTTTTAAATCCACTTATATAATTTATAGGTTTAGATAGTAGGAGACACCTGAGTTAATAATAAAATAAATAACAATCACTTATATTTTTACGATTTGGAGAATTCTCGCATATAATACTATAATAATAATCATTAGAACAAAAATAATAAAATTATATATTTCAACGAAGATTAATTGCTAACACCGTGAATATAGTGATATTAGAAAATAATAATAATAATAATTTATTGTGATGATAAGTACGTCCACTACTACTGTAAATTTATAATACTAGTTTATTTAATTTTGGAATAGTTTACTAGGTAGTTGGTACAATATTTAACTGAGAACTTAATGAAATTAATCAAATTGTTTACTGTGATTCTAACACAACACATACTATTTTAATTTAAGTAGTTTCTCTGGGTTATGTTCTGTTATTTTATTGCAAAAGAAACGAACTTAGAATAATATTATATAATATTGTGTAACGTAAATTATAATATAAACGACAACGACCACGGTTCCGCGTGCAAGTCGGCGATTGTTTTAAAAATAAATCACATATAATTCGAATATGAAGGAGATCCAGAGCGGTAGGGAGGAAAATGTCACCTGCGGCGGCGCCGAGCCATGTGTCCTCCGAAGATTGAGTATATATATGTAATACGTATATAGTATATTTATATATACTCGAACGAAGTATAATATATTTATATTTCAATGGACAATGTGCCACGTGCGACTGCCGTATAATAATATTATATTATATTCAGCTACACAGCGCATCGCTAATTATACAGAGTGATCATACGTATGTAAAGTTACTTCTTTCTCACTTTATGGAACAATTATGGCTGTAATGAAGTTCAAACAAATTATTAGTTAAAAAAAAAAATTGGAGAATTCGCTCTTCTACTATGTATTTGGTTTCAAGTACATTTCGTACTTAAATAACGGTCACTGTTATCAAGCAAATGTATACAAATTATACGAGTATCTATGCGAAAAACGTTTTTGAGTGACAATAACAGACAACAATCTGAATTTCGATCGCTTGTAAAAAAAATAAAATCTGAGATTTCTTCTCTTTAAACAGTAAATACTTATTTGAAAAGGACTTTACCATTTTTCATAAATCAAATAAATTATTTTTATCATAAAAAAAAAAACAACTTGTTGGTTTGTATTTCCGCTATTGATTTACGATAGATGTAAGGGATCCCTCTGTGTATATTATGTTACGTATTAAACATTAAACTAGCGTCTATAGGACTATATATGCAGCACGTCGGTGAGGCTGTGAGTGCTGTGACGTTGATGTATCACGATGAAGTATTTGCGGACGGTATATAATATCACGAGTTTCCTCCGATAAGGTCAACGATTTGGAAACCAATCGGTTTCTTATTTTAGTCCACTTTGACAGGTGGTCGGCTTGTCAAGTTATAAAAGACACCTGGAACATTTTTTTTAAGAGGCGCCCAGTATCTGCATAATTAGTTTTCAAATCGAGTTTTTAAACTGATTTTCAAACTGATTTCAAAATAATTTTATTATAAATTATGACTACGAATTAATTTCATCGTATCCACCGTTTCATCGAATTTGTTATAATAGAATTAATTTTTATAATTTATATATAATTTATCAACTATTACTAACTATTTACTATGATTACCGGGTTGATGCGTAAAATTGTTTTGTCTTGAAAGTACCCCTCAGCCAGCACACTACTGGTAAATTGCGGTTATTCTCATATCTTAATTGAGCCTATTATTCTTAAATAGCTAAAGTCTAAAACAAAGATTTATTTAATATGTGTTTGTTTTACGTCAATATCGACGGTTTTTTTCTTTTGGCGGTTTCTAAATACACTCGAATGGTATAACGTAAAATACCAAGTAAAACACCCACCGATGCTTAAATAAATGTTAACACTAAAATGGTTTTTGATTTTAATACAATTAAAAATTGTTAACATGTTTTAAGTGTCCTCGGATTCTAAACAGTTTCTTTTATAAGTAGTTTTCCTAATTTTTTCACATTCTAATAATATTACTGGTATTAACGAATTTAATGCAAAATATTGCCGGGACATCATTTATGAATATTTTATTTTTTACTTGTAAGTACTAATATAATTATTAGGGACTTCATGTTATAAATAAAATCTATACTTCTCAACTCCGTTGTGTATCCAAATAACTGAGTTCCTCCCATCATGCAGTCGCTGCTGTAAGTTTATGACGGATGACGTGAAGACAATAGACGTTTTTTTGTTGTCGGGTTGCGGTATCTCATGACACGGAGTATAATATACGAGTACACAATACTCACTACACGAATTAACCAAAAAACCTGGACAGGTGATATTATTTTCGTTATTTATTCGATTCTTAAAGTTCGTGGATGTCTGCCACCGTAATATTGTCGTTGAGAAAATACGTTTGCAAGGGTTCGTCTGAACGTCAAGCAAAATGTCGATTGCTATTTTTCTCGGTTTATATTATATCTATTATCTATAGATAGGAATTCCCCGTGGACGGGTTTTTCATGAAAGGGTTACCGTGTTAGTATGGAATAGAACACGGTATCGGTCTGACTACCTGGTACCTACCGTACCAACCGCATACATTGTAACTGTGTCTTTCACTAAATCTGAGACCAGCCGGTTATAAGCTAATAATAATAAATGATATACGATGAATGATGATTACGATGTATATTTATATAAATACATACTGATAAGAATTTATGATTTACATTATTTACTTTTAGAGGCCTTTCTAAATTGTCCACTTAGTTGTACTTGCCTTACTATCTGGTCTTGTGTATTTTATACCTGTTGATTGTTAATAACACGAAATATTAAATTATTTTTTTATTAATATTGTCTAGTGTCTTTTCATAGACGTACACTCTAGTTTTTATCATTCGATCATAATATTTAATCGTTATTCGCGTCACAATCGTCTAAAAATATACACGTTTTTGTACAATTATTTATATTATATCATATTATGTGTGTATATTATAAAATGGGTAAAATTAAGTACAGATAGCATGGTATCTATTATTATCATTTTTGTTTCCGAGTACTTTGACTCGATGAGTGAGGAAACATCATCAACAGATGAATCAATATATTATTTAATATCATTTCATTATTTATTATTATTATTCGAACTTACAATTTTTCAACAGGGTCGTAGTACTCGTAGTCCGTAGGGAGTACGATGCATGTACGTCCAGCAATGCGTGTTCTTTCTATAAAATAATAACGTATTATTATTGTAAATATAGAATAATTACACTGTAATAAAAATGACCGCCGCGCATATCATCGTTTAGCGATAAATGTTATTATTAAAATTTATAATATTATATTAAAATGTCTCGTTATTTTTAATTGTTGATAACATGATTACTAACGATAATAATACCGTACACAATATTATCATGTAACATCAAGTGTTGAATTTTTGTAATGCTATAATACTCATTATTCGCCAATATTATTATAATTTGCACTCGGCTCGCAATGCGGAGGGTTCTTCCGTTCATGCGTCTATTCGTTTAAACCCGATCACCACTCGTCAATCGTCATTGATCGCAATCACTGTTACATTTTATTATTATCTATCGCATTAGTCTTGTCTCTTGTAGATTCGTTGCGTGATTTAAAGATATTTTAATTACACCACCATAACTATTTTGTATATGGCCAGCTAATGAAAAATGTACCTTTTTTACCCCATAGAAATGCTACACTCCTACGAACACATCGTTGACGCTCAACAGTCGTCGGTCGGAGACGAGCTGTACAACCTGACACAGTTGGCCGAGGTCAGCATAGTCTACTTTAGACAACACACGGCCACGATCATCGACAGTTCAAGTGCCTACGAAAAGGACATCAAGGTAAGCCAACGCACGCCGTTATACGTGCTTGCCATTTCTAAAAAAGCCTTACTTTATAGTCGTATGTCAATTTACTTGGTGGATATATTGACGTAACATCGTATTACTGGTCATAAAAAAATGTTTAAAATTAATATTATTATTTTTTAAATATCATAGTAGTATTTATTTTGTTTGACTTCCTTAACTGACTAACGATGTAACCGGTCTTAATAAAATCTTAAAATAAAAACATTTAAAAATGTAGATTTAATTTTTTCTAACATAGTAAGGCTTTAAATCAAAATGAATATTTTTGATTTAACTATGTATACTAAATACTTTGTGTTGAGATATAGATATAATTACACGCTATTAAAAAATTGTCAATTTTAATAAAAATATTTAATTGAATTAACATTTCTTTGTGTTTTGTAAACTTAAGTTTCAATAGAAAATAGTAGCAATTCGAAATTTAAAATTTGATTATAAGTATAGCTTATTATGCGTGAATATTTTTCTAATAATATTAATTTGAGTGGGCATTACATTTAAGTTGGTACCTACTAGTGCATAAAATAACTAAAATAAATATATTAAGTAAAACTCTAACATAAAATAGTACACACTTAGAGGCGTACATATAGTATTAAATTCTAACTTGTTTATATATGTTTGGTTTATAATTCGGATGCCGTGGTTAAATGTACAGCAATTTTTTATTTATAAACCACTTTTTCAAATATATTTTTATAGCCTATTCGATATTATTTTATATGCCTACATTATATTAGTGTTTAAATATAGAATACGTATAGCTTTTTAAACGAATTAATTACTAAAGTTTTAAAGTATGTTAATTATTCAGTTTTTGCATGCGTCAATACATTTTTGAAAAAAAATGTTGGTAAGTCGTATTCTGTTGTTGAATATGAAATAAACTTTGAGTCGATGTTTTAAAAATTTAAAGTTGGTTGTAGTGGTAACTTGAAGGTAAACATTAATTGCCACACAGGGCTTTAATTTTCCGAATAAGTTTTTACTATAGTATCTTGTCTTTTGTTATTGTAGAAAAACGATGTTGATGACAACAACCATAATACAATAACCACGGAACAAACAACAAAAAAGACAACTAACAAGGAACGTCAGTGTCCGGACTGTGGGAAATGTTATAGCACGTCCAGCAATTTAGCCCGACACCGACAAACGCACAGGTCGCTAGCCGACATCAAAGCTAGGCACTGTCCCCACTGTGACAAGGTGAGATCTTAATAATGTTCATATTTCTTAAGATGTCATAAATCTTTATAGTAAGGTTTGGGAGTTGACATATTAACATGTTTTTTTTTTTTTTGGGTTATTAGATTTAATTATAAGTTATAGTTTGAAATTAGTTTCAAGAACCACCAAAGTATATTAAGCTTAAAGTGCATATTTTGTAATTTTTTATTAAAAATGTGTTTATTTTAATGACAATTTTCAATCTATATACACATTACACGGTATAATAAGTGGTAATACGACATGAGGCGGTTAAAATATAATATTGAGTAAGTGTTTTACATTAGAAAATCCTGAACAAGAGTGGTAATTTTAGGGAGAAAAGCAACATACACGTTCTGGGCCATTCAAATTTCAGGCGTCTGGCTGTATTGAAGGATTGAAGTTAAGCAATGTGATTGTTTGAATCGTGTTCGATTTTGGAGTGTAGTTGTATGTAATGTGTGGTAACTAGTTTGCCTTTTAGTGGGTAAAAGAAAGTAATTAAGCAGTGCGATATTTGTGACGTATATCAAGGGGTTTTAGCAATCATGCAAAAGCAGATGGCTTGGAATTCTTGAATGATTCTAGTATTTGATGGTTTGGCGGTACCTCAAAGAGCGATTTTGTATAAACAGGTAGGTTGCAACTGATATTTGTAATGTAGTAGACGATTAGAGATGTATATAGGAGATTTGAAAAAAGGTCTAAGGACATGTAAGCGACTGTTCTGTTTTCCTTTATTTTTGAGGTGAGAGGCCCAGGTGAGTCTTTTGTCGAACAGTAGCCCAAGGTATTTGATTTAATTTGCATGTGTAATGGTTGCGTTCTTGAATTTTATGTGAGGACAGTCACCGAGGTGAGATGATTTGGTGGTATTGATCATGATTTTCTAAGATTAGAACCAGTGAAATAAGGTGCTTAGATGATTTTGGAGTAGGTCATTTGAGGTTAGCAACTAACTTAACCTCGCAGCGACAAGCATAACTTTGTTATCTGTAGTTGATAAGTAGAGAACGATAGAAATATACGTGTGGACTGTAGTCGCAACTTGAACTGATCTCAGATTTCACTTTTTATAGAATTGTGTTGTTCAAATACCTAGTCGGTATATCTATGTAAAAAAAAGAATATTATTTATATATAATACGTATTATGTTATGATTTTCCAATTACAATGTTGTAAATACGGTAGTAATTTAGGCCTGAATTTTTCTTTTTGGAGATGGGGATGAATTTTTATATTAAAGAAATTAGATGACCTGAACTAAACAAAACATACTGTAAACTTTAAGTACAAATGTCTATAAAATAAGCAATACTACTGTGACCGCAGGCCGCAGACCACGTTCTAGGTACATTAAAATGATAATGGAAATACTCAAATAACCTTAAGTATTTACATAAGATAGCGTTCAGTTGCATTATTTAATATTTATAATCAGAGTTATATAAAATAACGCTACAAAGATGTTTAACAATGTAAATCATTCGTTTTATTAAGATGGACAATTTGCTATATCAAAGTAAAATACAATTAACTCAAAAAGGTATATGTTTTAGTTTTTCGTTATTATTGACCAAAAAAATATATGTCTTATAAAAGAAATTTTTCCTAAAGATTTTGGAACATATACACATGTGTACCTAAAAATTGTATAATTATCTAAAAGAAAAATATTATTCAAGGACAATTTTTAGAGCTATTTATTTTCGGATGTTTTTTCTAGATATAAATATATAATATATTTATTATTAAATAATTTTGTTTTTCTTATTTGAAATGTTATAACTCATAATAGTTTCCTTTGCAATATTTTTAATATAACTATTTATAGAACAGTTAAACATTACCGAAAACCTTTAACTATGTTACAATCCTTACCTCATAATTCATGAGTTCATGACTAACTTGTTGTGCGATAAATGATAATATATTATTATTATATCACCACTGTTTGATATGTTTTTTATTTTGTTTGTTTTTGTGTAGGTTTACGTATCGATACCAGCCTTTTCGATGCACATGCGAACACATAGTCAATCGTGCAAATGTGACATTTGCGGTAAATGCTTTTCCAGACCATGGCTGTTGCAAGGGCACATTCGCACCCATACGGGTAAGCAGCATATCGAAAATAGACGAATTATATAAAAAATGCCTACTCAATGGGTCGGATATAAATAATTTTCAATAGTAATATTAAATTAAACTAAGTACAATTGCTAATTTTAAAGCACAAAAAAATGTTGCAATTTATTTAAATCAATTCCAATTTGAGATATTTATGAATTTCAGATCTATTCACTTCCGTTTGGTAAATTAATTCCTTTAAGAATAGATTATCGATACATTGAAACTTAGACTTGTCATGTGTTAAATAATATATTTGTGTATTTGATAACAAAATATATATTATATATAAATGTATAATTGCAGTATATTTTATCTTTATGCAAACCTATGTAATAGATGGTCTCGCATTTTTTTCCATAGACTTGATTGAACATGGAAATATGTTAATTTCTTATTCAATTTTTTAGGTGAAAAACCTTACGAGTGCGAAAAATGTCGCAAAGCATTTGCAGATAAGTCAAACTTGCGAGCGCATCTTCAGACCCATTCTACAGAGAAACCACACGTCTGTCAGAAATGCAAAAAGGCATTTGCACTCAAATCATACTTGTACAAACATGAGGAATCTGCTTGTGGTAAAATTACTTTGTTGAACAACAATAACAACAACGATTAGGAACCCTTTTTTTTTTATTAGATTTAAAATCAAAAGTTCTAAACAATTGTGTTTTTTGTATATATTTATATTATGAGTTTTTCTTTACTATTTTTCTTCTCAAACTGTTCGAAAATAAGCTATTACTTTTTGGTGACCATTTAACATTTGTGCTAGAAATGTAAAATACATTTTTAACGTTATTATATTTAAGTACAATTTAAAATACTTGAACAATTTTAACAATTATTACAACAACAAAAGTTTTCTTATTTTAAACACATTTAATTACAAAATAATAGTAATAATAAATTAAATAATAAATAATACAAAAATAAGGAAAAAACAATCTAACACAATAATTTAATTTTTTATAAATTAGATATAAAATGTTTTGTTTTACATAACAAAGATCTGAGCAATATATGTTTATGATTTTTAGGCATTTAGTTATGACCAGAAAATTTTATATTTATATAATCAATTTATGTTTGATATACTTTGTTATTGATTGATTTTTGGACAGTGTAATTTTGAGATTAAATAACTAAAGTTTATTTGTATTATGATACAAAGTAGAATAAATAGTTCAGGTAATATTTATATTTATTTTTTTACAAATTTGTTTATATGTTTTGATATTTAACAAAAAAATAGAAACTAGTTTATTTTAAGTAAAACTTTAGAATATATATATGTACGAGCGGACGAGTGCTACTAGTCACATTTATTAATTTATTTTTGTATACAACAGTTTGTTGATTTAAAAAATATTTATTAAATTTGTAAATACATACATATATATCATATGTATGACTTTTTTTTATATTGTAAAAAATATATTTTCAAATTTAAAATTTTTAAAAATTATTTATTTTTTAATACATTTTACATAATCTATATTTAATATTATTTATTAATTTTTGTATCACAGATAAAAATATTTAAACTAGAAAAAAGAAATTTGTATTTTTAATGTTGATAATGTACACAAAAGATTAATATGAATCTAAAGAATTTTGTAAAATTAACAGACAAGTGTTTTTTTTAGGTTGTAGAAAATTAAATTTTTTTAAAAAAAAAAACAGATTAAAACAAGTATTTCAAACTTATTTTTACCTCCTCCAGTAATAAATACATTAAAAATTTACCAAATATTAAACAATACATAGTATGTTTAATCGTTATTCATAGTATGTATTCTTAGTGAACGCTCTTTGCGTTGCCTACGCCATTTGCTTGGTGTTTCTTTGGTGGATGTGTTTTCTGCATTACTATTTTTAGAAAGTTTAATAAGAAATTAATTATTGAAAGAAAAAATGAATTTTATAAACATTATATAAAATTATTAAATAAAATATTTACATACCGACAGTATAAAATTATATTGTCGTCAGACAAACTAAACGACCAATTGAACACGCTTGTTTTCCATGTTATTTCAGTTGAATGACCATACATATAACCCATTTCTAACTGATCTTCAGGTATGTTAAGTTTCTTGGAAATCTAAATTACATTTATTTACATTGCAATTCAAATTCACAATATATTTAATAAAGCAGATCCTGATGCTAGATACTTACTTCAGTGCCCAGCTGTGTGTTGGGAGACGTTGTGGATGCTATATCAACAACAAATTCCATTTCAGAAATAACACGGTGTGGACTTACTTCTTCTATATGATTGACAAACATTAGTCGTTTGGTTTTATTTAATTCCAATTCGGAACGATCTTTTAAATCCAATATGACCATTTCCCACCCTTGACCGATATCTTCATTCCAAATTTCTTCATTAAAATAGCATCGCATCAGAGAGTCTTTTTTCTTCTTACGCAAACGACACCTATGACATTATTATATGATACAAAATCAACATTAAATCTTATACAATCATCTAATAATTATTTACCTGTTTAAAGGTATTTCAATATTGTGTGTTTTACTCAATTTAACCAATAATTCTTTTTTAGTTTCTAAGACGGAAGTTCCCTTCTTAATGATCCAATCAAACATTTTCTTAAACAAAATCTACAAGCAGTAAAAATAAATAACTAATATATATTATATATATTATTTGTTTAACTAGTAGCATTTTTTTGAATAATTATATACTTGTGTCTGTTCTTGAGGTTCAATCCAATAAATGATGCCACGATATTCACCGTCATGTAACGCTTGACCCATAGAGATTTTAATTGTATCCGAGTAAGCCAAATCTTCTAAAGAACTGCTAGGTAATGCCAATTCTTCTACTTCTGTGTCTGATTTACATCGATTCAGAATGATAAAATCAGATGGTATGTTGACGTATGGCACTAATTGAGTTTTGAGTTCTTGGACAGTCATGCGTTTATCGACATATGCATAGAGTTTTTCTAAAATGTTTAATTTAAATACATGATTTAGATTCAAATATGCATATATACACGATTTAAATCTAAGGAAAAACAGGGTATCACTTAATTTAAATAAACTAGAGTAATAATGGTTGAGTTCACTTGACATAGATTAACTAAATACTAGCCAAATTACCTGTCACTGCCTGGTTACAGTATATATATATATAAAAAAAAAACAAGATTTTTGAAAGGGAGCTAATATGATAATATATATCACCATATATTAATAACAATAAGTTCCATACTATGATGGTAGTGTTATTTGAGAACCAAAAGAGACAAATGACATTGCACTATTATATTAATATATATTTTCTCTAAATTGTTAAGACTTCATTTTTACCAGTAAACAAATCAAATATTTCATTAGGCCAATAGAATTTCAGTTATAGCTGCTCAAAAAAATTACCTTACATTTTAATATTATAAAGATACTATAGATGGGTAATGCCAATGCAATTATTTATTGTTCATTATTCTAATAATTTGAATTCAGTTTACTAATGATGCATTGCATAGGAGGAAGTGGAAAACGAGTACTAATTTCATGTTACCATGTGCCACTAGTGAGCAAATCAAAATTAAAATGGATAAGCAATAAATTATTGTATTGGTGTTGAATATCTATAGTAGTATTTATTTTATGGTTTTAGTAAAAGTTAAAACTAAAAATTATAAGCAAATTATGTTTTTATAGTTTACCATTATCGTCTTCAGATGTCTTATCTGATATCTTTGTTGTTTTGAAAAAATATTTTTCATTTGACTGGAATTCGTTATCATCGTCGTCATCTTCAGTCTCATCCCAGTTTTCTTCCAATCTGCCTTGATCATAAACCTGAACATATTTTTAAATAATAATATATGTTTTACTAGTTAAAAAAAAAATTGATATACCTTTATCGGGTCATGTTCAAAAGTAGGAGAATCCATATGATAATCTTCGATAGCATCTCCTTTGATTGTCCTGAGAAAGAAAATATTTAACATATTATATTTAAATTTAAACAAAAAAAATCATTACCTTTCACTGTCTGTTATACTACTGTCCTCGCTCTGATCTCCACTTCCACCACCAATAGCTACTACACACATGTCCTCAGGATTGGTAACCAAATTATTGTCTTCATTCGATTGATCACAATCCACTAAATAATAAAAACATTTATTTATAATATACAATTTAAAAAAACTAATAATAAAAATTTGCTTATGCCTACCTTCCAACACACCTGGTTGTTTTTCTAATGGTAACATAGACTCATTGTCGTTATATCCATTTACATAGTTTTTATTGTATAATGACATCAATTTATGTAAAGTTTCTGAAAATAATACTGGAAATTACTTTTGAAAACCATCAATTACAACAGAACACTAAATTATGTAATAGTTTAACTATTATTAATATTTAAAGTGTGTTTACCCTTAATATTTTAGTAACTATTTTCTTTTTTTTAATCACGTAAGACACAGTATGAATAATATGTATAATTAAACTTATAATTTTAACAAAAGTAAAATTAAATGTCAGTTAAAAGTGTGTTTTAAATGTAGAGATAACTTACACTCATATAAATTTTTGACAAATAAATGAATTAGTATATAAGTTATATCATAATATTTTAGTCATAAAAACACTACCTGTATCTTTAGTTGGCATGATGAATTGTAATAAAATTGTATTGTCGTACCGTGTGATTATGTTTTTCATCTTGTGTCCCAAGACTGATTGTTCAATTGCATGACGTTCTATGAACACAAAAACCTGTTGGACAAATACTGAAGTAGTTAAATGGACCAAAGGCACAATTGTGTAATGAAATATGTATTAACAATACATACATAATTAGTGTAGATAGATGAACATGGTGCACTTTCTTCGAGCAATGTTGGTTTTGAACTGCTTTGAATAGCAAAATGCAACACTGATTCTCTTGAAATATCATATTTTGTATATAGCAGATTACTGAGGTCTTTTATTTCTTTGTTTAGTTCAATTTCAATTTCTACCGGCTGACTTACATCAATATCTTCTTCATTGTCATCCAAGTTTATCATGAATAATTTCATCAAGACATCTGATAAAAAAACAAATTAGTATATGTAACATACTATTATTGCTATTTTTTTTTTTTTAGCTTAGTTGTTATTCTTACACCCTGGAGTAGACACAACACTTCTATTGTCTTCCGTATCAATCATTTGAAGTAACAATACAAATGTCAATGAATATTTCAAATGACATACCAGATAGTTATTTTTATCTTCCAAGTTTTCAACAACTTTTTGATCTTGTTTATTGAAAATGACTAATCGACATGGTTTGGTGACTCTGAAATGCTAAAATTGAAAATCATTCCACTTACAATCTAAAAATATTGATTATTATTTAACATAAATAAATCGATCACATTATTACCTCGATAGCCATAGCCTTTAATTGTTCAACAGTAGTGGTCCCACTACAATCGAATTGCCAGCTTCGCACACCACATTCCATAAAATCAGCCAAATGGACAGGCACCTTGTACATATCTCGTTCTCTTTCTCTCATCTGTCTGTCTTCTTCAGCTTTTCTCTCCAATAAATTATGAAGTTCTTTTAAATGTGGGGGAAATTCTTCTTGAGTCA